AACTAGAAAATATTTGGAAGAACATTTTGAACGAACTCTCAAATATGCTCAATCACTTAAACAAAGTCTTAATATTCGTGATGTTTGGATCGTCCACTTTACATGTGGAGACGAACCAAACCATCACTGGCCAAGTAAAGAACAGCGGGATAAGGGATTGAATGCAGTGATATTTTGGCATAACCAAGATTTCACAAGCGTATATATGAGTGCTCGTTACAATGACGAAGATGGTCAGATGGTGGAGGTTAGTAAGGAATACATCGTTCCGATAAATGAAAACTAAATTTATTTTATAATTTATTATTTATTGTAATATTGACCCTGGTGGGTGATAATTTTTTGATGCATATATGCATATATCCTTGCGCAAAATAATCGTATTATTTTCAAACAATATGATGCCAAATGGTTGAAAATTTAAATAGATGGCGGGCTTAATTAGTTTTATGAACTATAGATGAAAGAATCTTTAATAATTGGAATTTATCAAAATGTGAATTAGAAAATAGACGTCATTAATACCTATTATAGATTTTTTTTTCGGGTGATTTTTTCCCGTAAAAGCTGAGGGCTCGCAAAATTTGAGACGAAAGACCAATATTATTTTTTTATTGGAATCCCATTCATTAACAACTAATTATCATTGTAAAAAGATAAATACGTTTAATTATAGAGGAAATTCTATTATAGCGAATTTTTCTATGATACATAATTTAATAGCAGTTAATATAGAGTATAGTTAATCATATCCGTAGTTTATGATTTTGGTAATTTAGAAATTCTCCATTAATGGAGTGGATCCATATTCTCAATTTACAAGATTAGAAAAAAATAACAGAGGAGAATATGGCATTGTTTATCGGCGGCAACTATATTATTGCGATAAAATATCAGCAGAAGTTTTTAAATGAGGTATTTACTTAATATGTTTCTTATAAAATACTTTACTTAATATTTGTTAAATTATTGACTTTTATTATAATTTTAGAAGCTATATTTTATCATAAGAATTGGAGTTTTACAAATATAATTGAATTCTTTGGAATTACACAAAATCCTGAGACAAAGTGTTTATGTTAATAAAGACGTATGCAGGAAGAGAAAATTTGTATAATTGTTTACAAAATAATTTTAAAGATATAATATGGAAGGATAAACGTAATATGTCAATAGGGTAATTATATTTAATACATTAATTATATTTATTAAACCTTAATTGATTAATTAATATACTTAGATTTTTAGAATTCGTGACATTCATGAAAAATGTTTTACATTGAGTGGTGTATTGGAAGATTATCACAACCGCGGATTTTATTTCATTAAAATAATGAAATATATGGTGTCATATCTTATATTGCACCTGAATATTTAATGGTGCTCAACTTTCAAAAAAAACTGATTTTTATAGTTTAGGTGCAATCATGTGGGAAATAAAATCAGGCTGTAAATCTTTGCCAATGTTGTACATACATAATAATAACCTTATATATGTTAGGATCCTGAACCTTCAAAAAGACCTTTAATAAAATTTTTTAGTTTGTGGTTGTATTATGTAAATACTGAAGATATGATATGAAAAGAAAGATTAGAATTAAATACAAACTTGGTCCCGAATTTAGTGAAAGTCTCATCCAAAATTATTATTACGAGCAGATGCATTAAGTTCTTTATTTTCAAAGCCTTCATCCATAAATATATATTTGACAAATTAAATGAGGCTGTACTTATTATGAAGACTAATTAATGAATAAGAAAGTATGATCATGAACGTGCCAACTAAAGAATTACTAAGATTAAACAAAAAAAAACGGGTGAATAAACATTTTAAATTCTTATGATCGGGATTCACAATTTCTATGGAAAAAGCATTATAAAATTCGAAATGGATATTTAGACAAAAATAAATCACCAAACATTAATTTTTAAACCACAAATCATTTTCCACTGTAGTTTCTTTTGAGATAAATTGAAGCGACATTTCGCTTATTAATAATTAAGTTCTTGAATTCTTTCGCATCAAAATATCTCCTTCAATTTTGAAAATTTATTTTTAAAATTATAAAAGTATATATAAATATTTGAACATGATGGCATGTAATATCGAATGTTGATAATTTCGACTAGCAGGATCCACAGTTAATACAGATGACCTAAATAATATTTATAACTCGAAGTAAATAAGTCCTGAAAATTTTGAAAATTCCAAGAAAATTACAATTAATTAATTAAACTATATAATATTTCATTTCATTTTAAAACTCATGTTTTTAGTACATTGTTGAAAATACCTTAATTTCAATGATATAAATTTTTTCACTTAAAATACATTTGCAACAAAATTTTTTATTGTTCTAAAATAAAGTATTTGACTTCAAAATAATATAAATTTTGATATCTTTTATTCATTTTAGAGTAACATTCTCGAAAATTCATGTGTATAAAAACTTTTCTCAGTAATTCCAGCACTTCAATAATATCCCTATAAAAATGTTTATGAATGTGTTCCGGTTTCTGTTTTCCGAAAATATTTCGATTTTCAGATTCTAATTTTGCTCCGAAAAGTGATCATTATCCGAAAGTGCTCAAATTAGATTCTTAATGGCCAAAGAATTGTCAAAAACGGGCAATTTAAAAACTATTGCTGAGGAAATTAGAACTTATTCTTTAATCTTATTCTTATTTGAATTATTGTTTGATAAAAACGGAATATTTATCAGGTGATTTACAATAGATATTATCCGAAAGTGCTCAGTAAATTTTATTGAGTATTATCAGGTTATTTACAATTGTTATTATCCGAAAGCACTCAAATTAGATTCAGTAGATTTTATTAAAATTGCAGGAATGGAATGTAAACGGTATTATATTGACAAGATATTATCCGAAAGTACTTAAAAAGCGTAAATAATGAATTTTTAATAACCATTAATAACTATCTATTTTTTACCATTTTTACAAAGTGTTTCGAGTTGTAATTTGGTTATTAGCTGCTTCAACTACTTTTTTCAAACTTGCTCTTGATACTCTAGTGGATGTTCTTCGGATTCCTATATTTATTATTAAATATAAATTGTAAAATTGTTATAAATCATCAAACGTAAATTCTTATTATTTAAATACCAGAATTTGCATCATTTTGTACTAGTGAAGATGTTTGGATGACATTCACTTTGGAATCATCAATTTTTATTTCACTAAGAATTTTACTTGAAGGTTTTGCTGAAATTAGATGATTTTCTTAACAGTTTCAGGCGAAGACAATTGAAAATTCGCATCAATGCTTGGTAATGGTTCTGAAATTGGTGCAGGTGGATTTGGCTTCATTTTCTTGAACTTTAGGTAGGCGGTAGCAAGAAATTTAATTTCAACAGAATTTCTAACGATTTTTAATATTTCTTGTATAGCTCATTATTTTAACCTTATTTCTCATGATATATTAAAATATTCTTTTGCAAAAAAAACCATTCAATACTGTAATATGTTAGTTACATATTTTAAAAAATCACATATTTGTGGTGAT